TTTCAAGATGAAAGTTCACCGGCTCCAACTGCACCATGGTACTCCATGCAGTAAGAGAGCTGGGATTTGTGGGTTTGATAACGCAGAATTTATCTGCTTTTCTTAGGAATTCTCTCTGCCCGCTGACTTACTCTCAGTTAGGGAAGTAGCTACTAAAAGTTAATTGGGGCCCTGACAGTAAAGAGGGGGGAAAAAAGTCCCAAAGTCAGACACTGAGTACAGTATTTATTTAAGACATGCAAGTGGAAATACATGCAAAAAAAATCGCTTTCCTTGGCATGATGACTGCTGTTAACATTCTACATAGTGCCTTGAAAGTAAAATTGCTTCCCTACTGATCTGCAGTAAGAACTGTATTTAAAGTCACCCGCGTTCGATTAGAATAATAAAAAACCCAAACGACAGGGATTTCATCTCCCTTAGAAGAAAACATCCAGGCTAGTAAAGAATCCTAATGGAGGTGTAATGGCTTTCTCCACCGAGGTAAATTTTTTTAGGAATTAGGAAACACCTAACAGAGGAGTTCTGTAAATTTTACATAAGGATTACAAAGAGTGATAAAACAGGTTTGTCACAGTTCAGCCACACGCTGTGAGGCCCAGGGCAGGAAATACTTGAGGCAACATTATGCCTGAGTTGAATATATATAGTTCTACTATAGGCCTTACTGTAAATGAGGTTATCAAAACTAGAAGAACCTAATCCTTTAATTTTTTAATTATTTGAATACAGAGGATTATTTTTCCTAATTCTAAGTGCTCTTTATTTCACTTACAGTCAGTTAAGCTTTCTTTATCCAGCAGCAAAGAAGTCTATGTCTGTCTCTGAATGGCATCAACAGAGATAAGAGAGTGTCTTTGTTTTACATTTGAGAGGCCTTTAGAAACTGCCTCCCTACCCTGCCTGCACCGAGGCAAATGAGCATGAAAGTCTATTTTACAGGTAGAGAAAAACCAAACCAAAGCGTTAACACTGCTAAGGCCACAGAAGGTATCACCTTGAGAGCACTGGTAGGCGCTATCACCTCACGCCCTTTGTACTGAGATGGCTGGACAACTCCTTAAGAGATTGCCACAAAACCGGTGTCAGAGCTGGAGTTCCAGTCCTGCTCAACAGTGTATCAGCACTCAGTAAACTACCTCCCACCAGGGAGTAACATGGAGACATGGCAAGTGGGAAAAGAGGCACAGGAAAGGCAAGTGAATGCCCAGTGTTTCCATCAGGTCAGCAGCAGAACAGGAAGCAGGAACAGCTCTCCCAAGCATCAACCCAGGCAGCAGTCCAAAATGTGACATTAAAATGGAAGGGGGCCCCTGACAAGTCTTTGTTCTTATGATCTTGTGACCTTCCAAAACTCAGACTGGACATCTTTGGTAAAGAGACACCAGGAAACTTCACAGGAAAAGCAGGACATTTTTCTACAAGACTTACAAAAAAGTTCTGGAGGCTTTTGTGACAGGATGATCAGAGCTACTCTCAGAGCCAAAACCTATCCATGTGACAAGCAAGAGAAGATTTCCCTGGAGGCCTGCACCAGGGTATGCATTTTTTCTCCTCAAATCTACAGGCAAATTACAAGAAAAAGAAAGTGGAGAGTGCCAAGTCCCACAAGTACTCAAAGCAGATAAAAAGCACTGGGCATGGCTGGTTACTTGGGTTTTAGTGAATGGTTTATGGACATAGTACAACCGTAGGACATTTCACTTTATTCTTTGTATGAAAAATTATTAACAAAGATATCAAAGTTGATGGCTAAGCAGTTGTGTAGATGTAAAGTGCTTTCATGCCTTCACCCTTTTGGTTGTTTTTCCCCCTCATGGCAATAACTAAAGCCTTCAAAACAATTTCACAGACAATAAACCCAAAGTATTGCCCTAGCCTGATAATGGCATGTTTTGAACTCGATTTAGACTCCCCCCTCTTTTTCTAATTCCCAAAAGATTTGATGCTTCCAGGAGCAAGCTTGTGGTCATTGTAATAAATCCACAAACTTTGACATGGAAGCTACAGTATCTCCAGAAAGGAGGTCAATCAGAAGCAGTACAGTGTAAGTAAACCTACTCAGGAAGGAAGGTTTCATTTGGACAGGATTTTTTGACGAATTGTGGCAACAATTATTTTGTGGAAGGACATGCAAGGGGAGCATGTTACTTAACATCTTATTTTCTAGTAGTTAATAGGGGTCATTGAAGGGGTAATGGGGGTGTCCAGCATCTCTGGCCACTAGCTTGCCATCCACCTGTGGAATAAACAGACTCAAGTCAAAAAGACAGAAATTCATTCTTACTCTCTCAGTTTCAAATTCTGCATGATTTAGATTTCTGGGATATGAAGATTCAAACACCTGGGAGTGTCTTTTTCAGCTTAAACAAGAGCTGTTTCCCTACTCCTGAGTCCTCCTAGCACTTTGTGAAAGGAAAACTTAAAAATTAATTTATAAAAGGAGATAGATTTCTGTAGCCTAGAGCAAGTCTTCCAAGCTGCTGAGACTTCAAGAATTAGATTAAGAATAGTTAAAAGCCTTTTGCCTTGTAGCTGTTATTGAGCAAGTGTTGTAACATGCAGACTTCAAAACACTTTATTGGAGTTGGAGCTTTTTCCTTGTGTTTCCATGATAGAGAGTTGCTGGGCTGCCAGTTTTACACATGGATAAGATGCAACACATTTGAATGACTGGTTCGGGGTCACATACTGAAGCATCAACAGTGACACTGAACTGCATCACAGCACTTTTTGTTTAAGAACATTTCCATGGAAGACCAGCATCTCCAGCTGTAAAACGGGAATACTGAAATAAGTATTCACAGATAATGAAACAGAGACTCCAGCTGGCTCAAAGGCAGATGTGGCCATGCAGAAATCTCAGTTCCTGCATCCCACCTCTAAGCATTCAGATGCACAAGTTGCATTTTTATTTGCACTAAGTCCATTGCAACACCCCTCAACTTCCAAGGAGCTGAGGTAAACCCTTGCTCCTCATCTGTAATGTCTGGGAAAATTTAGGAGCAGCATTGGTAGAGATACACACCTCTCTGGGCAACAGACTAGCATCATTCAGCTAAAACTTATATTAAGTCCCTCTATCAGCTTTCAGTATAAAGCCTGCATTCCAAATCAACTGGAATCCCTAGTAATGAATGTTACAGTGGCTACTGAAGTGTGAAATTAGTCACTTGGGGGCACTACAGAGCAGGAAACTAAGACGTTAAAGTTTAACATTTGATTGATGCTCAGATTAATATAAAGCTGAAGTGAAGCTGTCAACTGAAGGCAATCCTTTAAACTGTGGACAAAAGTGTCAGAGCATGCCAAAACAGCAGCTGCCAGAAGCAATGTTTCAGGTAGCTGATTCTAGTCTAGTCCAGGAATTTGAGAGAAGGAGGCAGGGTAAAGCCAGCAGTGAACACACTGCAGGTCAGTGGTGCCAACTATCAAAAATAGACCATTATGTGTACAATACCATCACTCCTTCCTGTCTTGCTAGTCATTCCGGTTTCACTTAAGTATATTCCTTGACCAATTACATCTTTCCAAAAGTTTGGGATTTCAGGCTGGTGCAAGGTAATTTCCAACCTCTATCCAGATAATGAATTGTTAGAAGTATAAAGCAACTTAAATTGTCTAAAGCCTAAGGAGAAGCCATTACATTGCATGTAGACAAGACAATGTGGAGAAGAGTGGCACAGCTGTAAGAACTTGTGGTTATTATGCAAAACAAGGAAAAACTGTCTTGTCAGTTATGACAGAAGCTCTGATATCACTGCTGTATCGCACATTGAAATCCAGACACTGTAAGTTAGATTTGGAGAGGAGGTAGGCGTAAAGGGTTGGACAGGAATTTTAATTCACAGTTGATGAAAATTCTTTCCTGTGAGCCCAGAAGGGATTGTAGGAGACAAAAGGTTCTGCTAGAGATCTTACAGCTACAGAGTCACCTTTTAATCCTCCTCATCGTGCTTCTTCCTGTCTTGTTATCTGACAGGATGGCAGCATCTTTGAAGCCCAGCTGCATCATTCACCCTTTTTCTAGTTGGATGGGCTAGTGCTTTGAACTCTTATTTCATCTCTCCTTTGTGAATCACTGTGATCTGATCAGGTCTCCCAGGTAACAAAAGCACATGACTTATCCCCAGCTCATCCAAGGGTACATCCTAATGCATTTTGCAGTTCCATTAACAAAACAACTTTATTTGCAGCATGAGCAGCAAAGCACTTGAAAGAAACATCTTGTCAGCAGCAGGTGTGCTTGTCACTACTGCAGTCACACAGATCAGCAGCTAAGCTTGTAGTCTGGGGTACAGACTCCTGTTCCACAAACACAAAGATAATTTCGGTTGCACGGATGTGGGGGTTTATATTTACACACAGATACTGAAGCAATATACAGTTAAGAGCATGGCCCTGAAGCTCTTTAAAGCTCCAGTATGACAAACAGTGAAAGCTGTAGCAAGTATCTACCCTTGATAAGAGACAGTCATTCACCATGGTCACTTGTTTTTTCTAATTCAGACATGCTCAAGTACTCAAAAAAAGCTCTATGACAAATCCTGGAGAAGAGCTTTCCCCAAAGAATTCCTATAGCCAGGACCCACTGACTGACTACTGAAGAAGAATTTACAGACAGACAAACTGCTTGCAGAGGCAAGGGTATGCTTGACAGCTTCCAAATTTGCAGAGACCTACTGTGTCTGTGCAGTGTACTGTATGACAGAGAAGGGATAAATCGCTTCAGACTCATTATTGCACAGTCTGGTGGTCAGTGACACAGAGGGAATGGCAACAGCTTTCTGTGGCATAATCAGAAGCAGGACAGTAAGAAATGAGGAATACTATGAAGACAGGAGACAACATAGCATTGACTTGTTTGGGTTTTTTTTTCCTGCAGTGAGAGGAAAGGAACAAGGTTAGGTGCTTTAACATAAGGAAGACCAAGAGGACTTCAACATTTAGAAGGCTTTAGTTTCTCTAAACCCAGACTGGCAACTGATAGCACACGAGGTAAAAAGTTTCATGTGACAGTAAAACTACTGATGCTAAAAGATGCTGCAGCTAATGGATTTGGAAAGACAAATACAACGGCCTAAGCCAAACTCCTTATGTTTGAGGAAGGTCATTAAAATAGATTATGAAAGGGGGACATCCAGTGGAGGGGAGTGGACAAATTCCCTCATGTGGCTTCTATGATGGATATGGAGAACTAACAGCACACTCAGTCTTCAATGATCTTAGAGGCTTATGGTATAAAGTAGATGGGGACAGTTGGAACGAGGACTACTTCTGGAGGAATGCCATGGACCTCAGCCTGCTTGTACTTGAGCAGGACATATCAGCAGGAGTTTGGGGAGTTTTGAAGTAAGATGGGACTCTGGCTTAAAGGCCTATGGGCAGTTCTGTAATGAGAACTCCAACAGTAGCCAAAACAGAGGAGGAAAGATTTCAAAAAGCTACTTTTTTTGTACCCAGCTTTTGAAAAATTCTTTCATCTTAGATACCTTAAGAAGATGCAGTATTCTTATGAGTAAGTAGTTCTGATGGGGACAGTAAAAGGAAGAAAAATGCAAAAACCCCAAACTGCAGCCACATGCACATAGTGAAAACTATGAGAAAGATGAGAAATTTACCGTGATCATTGGCACAATGTAACGCCAGTTTTTATTCAGGCTTCCAATGTGGCTCATCTCTTCTTCTGTGAGGCTGAAATCAAACACCTGAGAACAAAAGCAAGAGGCTTTATAAGCATAAGTTACAATTAGTTTGTCTTACATTTATAAATATGTTGCCATTAAAACTCATTTTATACCAAACAGCAAAACAAAGGCTTGAAGTCTGAGGTGTTAATATAAATGCCAACTCTAGACTTACACTGATATTGCATAGCACTCTTCCAAAAGGACAAAAAGCAGTTGGACTGTTCCTCCAAGTCAGTCCTGCCTATTCAATCAATGTTCCGTTCCCACATAACACTAAACCTCAAGTAACTGCAGAGTTTACTGGACTCCCTTGAGATTTCTAGCAGCATACTACATGGCAGGATTTAATGGGAGTAACAGTTACAGAAACAACTCCTAACTTAAAAGCAAGTATGTAACCAGCCAATCTCTATGATTAAGGGCTGAAAAGGATCACATGGAGCTGATTCAGAGACCTCCCTCAAAATCACCTGAAGCCAGAGTTTTCACATCATTTCTAAAGTGAGCTCTACTTCAGAGCAGAAGTGAACCACACGTATTCCTTCAGCATTGTTAGTATGGCAGTTTGCCACAGAAACAGTCACCAGCCTTGCCTGCAGGGTTGAGCAACTATTACTCATCAATAAGAACCAGTGAATGTCGTTAGAAGACTCCCTTGTATCTCAGATAAATTTCAGTAGATTTTCCATTAAGACTTCTACAAAGTACATTCTTTACCTTTTGATAACAAGACTCTGCATGTGTACATGCGCACACACTCACTTGCTTAAAACACATCAAGTTTGCTTTCCAAAAATCTTTACCATCCCTTTTAACTCTGTGCATACACTGGTGAACAAGTATGAACCAAGTGCCTCAGCTTGTTGCTCTGCAGGTAGTAGGACAATATATTACTCACACGAAAAGGCACTGCTGAAACTCCTTTCTTTCATTTAAACTTACCTGGAGATTCTCCTGAATACGAGTGGGAGTGACACTCTTGGGAATGGCAACCACTTTACGCTGCACTTGCCATCTGTTAAGAGGAGGAAAAAGATTTTCTGTGTGCAGCCCAAGAACCACAATGTTTATTTTGGTTGAGTAACAACCTGTGTCAGCAGAGATGCCAATTGTTTCTATGGGAAATTAAAATACCCAGAAGAGGGCTGGCATAGCACTGTATTGTATTAGAAGTATGAGTATGTCCAAGCAAGACAGAAACCATTGAATTAATCAACGAGGGGAAGATGTTCATGCTTTTGAACACGCAACCAAGTTTCAGGTGCTTTAAGCTGGAAGCCCAAGAAAGAGTCAGAAAGTGTACTTAAGCATTTTATATGGGTTCTAACACAACAATCAGTGAGAAACCAGAAGACAACACAGATCCCTCAAATGCCTGTCTAGTGGCTCAAGCACAAAATCTTGAACTTGTTCAGCTGGCAGGGTAACTTGCTGCTGCCCAAGACTGTGCTGGTGATATTAATAGATACAAAGCCAGAGAAACAAAATGAGGCTAGAAACCCAATTTCACTTTATAAGGTGCTGACCACATTCTGGATATTACACAACCATCCTGTTTCCCAGTGTCCAATAGCTGGCTTCTACTATATAGAACAGCAAATGGTTTTTCAGTGCAAAGAAGGAAGCACTTCCTCAGCCTCTCTTCTGGGAGACCACCTGAATGCAGCAAAAGCACTCAAGGGTTTAGCAACTGGCCACATGCACATTCAGCAGGTGGCCCTCAATCAGGGCACACTGCTGCAGTTATCCCACTGCTATTTCACAGTAGAAATGGGTGAATTGTTCAGGCACAGATCCAGGCCCTGAACAGACCCCTCTGATCTAGTCCATCCACCTGCCCTATGGCAGGACCAACCCTACTAAATTTGTAAAACAAGCACCAAATGGGGCTTGCTTTTGGCACTCCCTGTGATTTTAACTCCCCACCAATGCAGAAGAACACACACTTTTAAGCAGATTACATCTAACTTGAGTGTTTTGCCAGGTCCCAAATGCCACCCTCTGACAGTTGTCCTGTACCTGAGAATAACCTGTGCAGGTGACTTGCTGTATTTTTCTGCCAGTTTTTTAATCCCAGGTTCTTCTAGGAGCACAGGCTCATCTGGATGTTTCCACATGCGATCTGGAGAACCAAGGGGGCTGTAGGCAGTGACAACCAGTCCTCGCTTCTGGCAGTGAGCTATCAGCTCATTCTGAGCTAGGTAAGGATGGCATTCTACCTGTTAAAATGACCCACAGTGAGTGGCTAGAGAACAGACAACAACACAAGACTCTAAACAAATAGGAAGTCAAGAGCACAGCAGAACCAAACCCATCACAGGAGGTCATTCTAGATTCTAGAAAACCTTATAAGGATAAGGTTTAAGTTAAGTCAGGTATCCTTATGAGGATAACTTACTACCAGAATGAAAAAGCATCTGGTAGGCTAAGTTTACAGGAAAAAAATAACAGATCACCTAAGTTTAGTGCTGGATTTTCCCTATGTACCAAAAAGATCATCCAACAAGCAATGAAACTCTCTATTAGAAGGGATTCAAGTTACTTTCTCACAATGCTTCTTTCTTATAGACTGAATTGGTCCTCACAAGGAAGACTAACTCTTCCCACAGACCTGTCCAACTAAGCAGGCATAAATGGCCACAGAATGTGGATGTAGGTCTCCTCCCCAACAAATTAATCTGCCTGGAATGACAGGCTCTGTGTGCCTACTCCTGCAGAGCTGGCTATATTCTTCCCTGTACGTAAGAAGCTGAACACCTTGTGCTAAAGACACAACATTGGTTTGAAGATTCTTCACTCTTATGGACAAACAGAAAAGGTATTTGTCCTCTTCTTTATTCAACTTACCTGGAGCACAGCTGGTTTGACAGTAGCCACACTTAGTATATCATCGATCTGACGGCTGTTGAAGTTTGACAGCCCAATGGCTTTCACAAGACCTTTTACTACCAGCTTCTCCATAGCCTTCCAGGTATCCTTGTAATCAGTGTAATCATAACGCATTGTGTTATCAGGATTCTTTGGGAAGAGATTGTCCCCTCGTCTACAGAGGCAAAAGTAAAGTGTAAGTACATTTACCACGTTTATATTAAAGTCTTCAATAAAAAAAAAAACAAACCAAAAAGCCTTCCTCAAAGTATTCTTAAAAGATTACACATAGTTCATAGGGACTCCACCTATAAAAGATTATTTCACATACCGTCTTTCCTATGTAAACTTGTTACACAGTACTTTGACCTACTTACCTATACAGTAGTGACTACACAGATAACTGATAAGCCACCATATACACGCAGCAGCTCTTTGCACACTTCGATCCTAGCAAAACAGCTGATTTAGAGATCACCAACACAGAAGACAGCTTTGGTTTCTCAATTTGTTTTTGAGAGGATTGATTCTTAATAGTCTGTTTAGAGCCACTGACAAAGGGATTTTGGCTTAAGAGCTGTCTAGAAAAGATTATATTCAAAGTACACTGGCCTTCCTACTCCTTCTGGATTCTGTAGCAGTGTCAGTACTTGAAATAAGCACAGATTCTCACAGAATCTAACACATACATGTTGCTTATAGGCTGGGTGTGTTCCTAGTTAGTCATACCAACCCATTCAAAAAATAAGATAAAGTAAAAAAAACACCCCACACAATGAACCTGGTTCTGCCAAGTGACACCACCACACTGCCACAGGGCTATGACTGGCCTCTGAGCAGTCCACACTTGGAGGGGTACATATAATCCCACTGGAAACATGTTTCTTGTTACCAGTGCAGGACTCTGCTAACTCAGATCTCAGAGGCTGCCTTACACTGCTCAGCTAAGGAGTGAAACGGTGTTAGAAATGAGAGCTGGAGACAAAGGGAGATGGTTCTTCATGTCATTGATAAATCTAGAACCAAAAATAACTCTGAAAGCCTTATGAGCTCCCAACTCCAAAAAGCTGCCTCATATGTCAATAGTAGTAATACAAAGTGAGAGATTAAGTTTCAAGACCTAGAGGCACTGTGATTTCCAGACAGAAGTATATTTTAATTTCTAATTAAATAACATTCGTTTGCTCAGCTTCCCAGGGCAATAGGGGTTATAGGTAACCACACATTGAAACAGTTGAGGCAGAGCTAACAGAAAACTGGAGAGTGAACAGTTTCCAAAGAGAAAATATGAAACTGCTTTATTAGAATGGCAGCTTTGTCAACAGTTTCCACAGCATCAAGCAAATTTAAATATTAGTAATACCTAAACATACATCAATATTTGTGTTACCTGTCATTACCAAAGCAGTGTTTCATGTTGGGGGTTGGATTTTTTTTCCCCCCAATCAACTGGAAACCAAACCTGTTTCATAAGAGGGGGAATTTTAAACAGCTCTTCCTCTAAACCAGCTCTAGTTGGCCACACTTCCTCATTCTGTTATGCTGAGGAATATATTTATACTTCAAGCATCTTTCCTCTTATCATTAGTTTTGTATGCTTTGTAAAATTCAGTTCATATCACTAGAAGGGGTCAAAAAATTCTCATATTTGCAGAACAGACAGAAGCCCCTTAAACTGACAGGGTTTCCCCTGTTGAGTGAAGCCTCCATGCAAACATCTGATCAGAAGATTTGTCCCCTCCCCCATCCACTCACCATTTTAATGATTGTAAGGGGATGTGGGGATAAGCAACAACTGCTTCCACATCTGCAAGAAAATAAAGCAAGGAACTCTGCTTCTGATGGAGCTGTAGGGTAAGTGCATTTAGCACCTAACTGGAAGACTTCCTCATCTCTTATTTCCTCAAATCATAGAATTACTGCAATTAAAATGTCATAAGAAGTCATTTTCATTTTCTTATACAGATACCACCATGACACTGCATATGCTTGGCCACTCCAGTACAGTTAATAACTATTAGTGAAAACTGTGGTCTTTACAAAGTGCTTAATTCTCATTTTACAGATAAGTAAAGCAAAGGCACAAAGCAGTTTTGTTATTTCCCCAAGGTTACCCTGTAGGTCAATGGCAGAATCAAGAATAGCTTGGTTCTAATAGATGAAGGCACTAGGTTGTTTTAAGCTTCTAATATATTTTAAACTCAAAGGTTTTACCTCACAGCAAACCAAACTCTCAGCTAGTATAAGATGGCAAGCGTCAGTACAGAAACTTGTCACATAGAGCTTTATTACTTTTTCCCAGTTAGACCAGTTTCAGTTACCTAACTTTGGCACTCATGCCAAACTATCAGAAGTTTAGTGACCCTACCTACTTTCATCACCTAGTTGTTCTCACTACTAAAAAAAAAATCTAAGTAACTGCTTAAAGATTTTAAATGAAGACTTAATACTCACTTTTGCAGCCTCATCATCGCTAAATAATGAGAACAGTTACCCCTTTTCTATTTACAGTATTTCTATACAAAACCAGAAGTTTTGTCTCCGCTACTGTGTGCTTACAGACATGCTACACATCTGACAGTAAGCAAATTCCCACCCAACTGAAATGCAAAGAATGAAGTTTGAACAACTGTTTTTTTTGAACAAGCGGGCCAAAAATGAGCCAGTGTACAGGTCATGGGTAGAAAAGCATGTCTGTGTGACAGTCCACAGGACTACATATTTAGCCACACTGCAAAACATCTCGCAGGCAGTATACACAAGAAGAAATTCACAGCTTGCAAAGAAGGTCCTGAGGATATAGCACCAGCCACTTATGTAAAACTGGGGTTTCTGCAATCTGTGCCCTTTCCACACAGAACTTACTCAAAGGCATGAGGCCAATGCATGAGGTACAGGTCCAAGTAATTCAATTTCAAATCGTCAAGTGTTTTCCTTAGTGCTGGCTCTACATCTTCTGGGTGGTGCTTGGTATTCCAGAGCTTTGATGTTACAAACAGGTCCTCCCTTTTAATAACCTTTAAGACAGGGAGGAGAGCATAATTTACTGGAACAAGTTCAGGAAGAGAATTGCAGCAATTCCCCAGCTAGCTTTAAAATCAAAGAGAACAATTTAAGTTTTAATAAAAAAAGGTCACACAGGATCTACAAATTAAACCTTTCAAAATATACTAGATAGAGAAGAACAAGAGAAACACACACCTTGGCAAGACCTAAAGTATACCAGATACTTAGCAAGTTACTATAAGTTCTGAAATACAAAACAATCCTCTCCACACACACTTTCCAAACTACCCAATTCAAGGGTAAAAGCCACTATTAAGTGTGGTGTGGCCAAAGGAAAGATTATACAGTTTATTCATATGCAAATTTTGTATTTTCTATTTAACAATTCACATATTCTAGGCACAACCAGTTAACTTACTAGACTCATCACATGTTATAAACCAAGAATGCTTCTCATGTGAAGGGCATGGGAAAATACAGAGAAGCAGCTTCTTCAAAGCTCTGCACTTGAGTTTCTAGGTTCTGGAAGAAACACACCAAGAACTGAGTGCCCTATACCCTGTATTGGAAGGGTAAGACACAGAAATTAAACAGAGTGTTGCTTAACTAGGAAGTATAAAATGTGAAAGGGAGATCATGTTTGGCAAGCTGAAGCACAGAACAGAGGGCACTTCTCACTGTCTTGTGTGACCAAATTTCACCCAAGTCTATACTTTTTAGAAGATGGAATGATTAATTCCCTGTTTATCTCCTCCAACCATTGTTATTTCTGTGTTTCACATATGGCTGTTGTGCTCAAAGAGAAAGATGTTTTACAAATTCTAGTTTTAAGTTAGCTAGCTTATATGAATTGAGTAAGAGTCTCCTATGCTTCCCTGTATTAGTTACCATACCTAGTAGGAAGGATTCCCTGGGGCAAGCTGAAAACAGCCTCTCTTAAGCTAATCACATAACAAAGAGATTGCCCTAAAGTCAAGGCAAGAACAGCAGGAAAGCAGGAACATAAGAACTTTCCCTCCACCAGCTCTGAGGCTGTACAGGTAATCCTTCTAGCCCCTTGGGCTAACAAGAGGGTAAGAGAATGAATTTAAGATTCCACCGGAGGTCACCCATAAGAATGCCTGCCACATTACAGTATATTTAGGCCACAGACTCTCAGGTGCAGGCTGTAGAGCCACAGTTACCAAACCTTCAAATGCAATCACTGTTCAAAAAAAACAAAAACAAAAAAAAAGTACTTATTTACTCACTATTATTATCCATAACCAAAAAGCCCCCCAGTCACCAAATTTGCTATGGATACTGAGCATGCTAGTCCAGACTGGCAAACTAGAGTAACTTTTCATATAAATCATGGCAAATATTTTACATTACAACTACTGATTCTTGGTACCTCCGATTTCTGAACAGCCAAATTGGGATACTTTGTAAGAGAGGAAATGGGTGGGCAGGGAAAGTTTTTTTAAAAAGGGCATTTTCTTTAGCTCCATGCAAATATTGCTGAAAATCTTTCCTCTTCCTGACAGCCAGGATGGGTGTAAGGGAACAGAAAACCCTCTTTCGCGCCTGCTCCTGATTAGTAACAAACATCTGGGACAGACCAGGAGGAAAAGCCACAAACATTAAACTTTACAGTCTACTTTCAGTCCACAGTTGTAAATTTTGACACAATACACAAGCAGCGTGGTGATTCTTGTGTTTCTACCTTGCTGGGCCCAAGGCACTCCTGGAAAGCCTCACCGATCTCTGCTTCATTACTGTAAGCTGCTGCACAGTCAATGTGGCGGTAACCCACACTTAGGGCATATTTCACTGCTTCTTTCACCTGTAATCAGAAACAGATAACCCAATGTGATCACTGAAAAGGGACACATCACTGGGGGGGGGGAAGGAATCAAAAGTTAGGGACCTTGTGAGGAACACCCCCAAAGTACATAAGGTCATAAGACTCGGAGCAGGATACAGTCCTCTGTGGCACAGGAGTGAAGAGCTAACTGCTAGCAGACACTAGTAACAAGAAAACAGACCACACACACAGGCCAAGCATGCAAGAACCCACCAGACAGAATAGGGATTAAGTATTAACTATACTTCTCACTTCTCTTAAATGTAAAATGAGCTTTAAGAAGCAGTTTTCAAACAAATGATGGCATAGGAAGACAAAAATTCCAAAACTAATACATGAATCCTCATCTGTTAGTTATCTCCTATTATAAGATATCTCCTCACTCCCAGTAAAGGAAGAGCTTGGTTTCTAACTCCAGAATTGCCACAATTCGGGCCTAGTTCAACTGGTCATGCTTAAATTCCTAAGATAATGGTATTTTATGGCACATTTTTTCTTCAGGTCTCATTCCCACTGACTGCACAACAATGGAAGTCATTATACTGTTGTATATTAATCCATGGCCTGCAGGGGATCTCCCGATGATGCTGACATCTCTGCAGTTTGCTTTCCACATTGCTGACAAAGGTGTTGTCAACAGCAACACGTCTCTTGCTACATATTATTATGTATAAGCCGGAATGGTTGTGAACTAAGGCACTATACTTTGAACCTTTCTGCTTTTGAAAGCTCTAATGAAGCTCAAGCACAAAACATCTTCACATGCAGGGCCCAGATATGGAGCAGGTCTAGAAACCAAAGAAGGAAACACAGAATGGCATCTTTTTGAGTACTTACAAGTAGCTTCTGAATGAAGATTTTTAATAACCAACTGTACAAGAACCAAGAATTACTACAGATTCCACTGCAGGCATCATCTTCCATTAGGTTGATGAGCATTAAGTAAAATCTTAATGTTATTTCATTTGACTTCCAGTAGAAAGAAAGCACACACTCTCTTTTATGTTTATCCATCTGAAGTGCTGCAGCATTTTCAATTTTAAAGCTGACAAAACTAGGAACAGGAATTAAAGAGATGTACAGTCCTGCTTCCAGATGCTACAGAAAGACAAGGGGAATCAAATGGGAAAGAGACCTCTCTTCTACCGGTGGATTTCATTTGTTTTCTTGTCAAGAGCTGCAGTAAAGGCAGACACAGGATATTCTGACTGCATTCTTTGGCATTTTGAGAGGAAAAATCAGACCTGTTGCCCTTAGCCAGAATCACGAAGCACTTCTATTACAGCAGTGAAGTAAACTCTCCCTTTCTCCAGCAGAATGGTATTTACCTTGTTTCATCTTGACAAAGACATTCCTAAGGTCACTACACAGTCAAGGTCATGGTAATTCTGAAGTCACTTGAGACATATTAAAAGGCTTTTAAGACTTGATACCTACCCTTCAAAAAGGTAAGAGCTGTAGAGCTGAAGCAGAAAGGAAAAGCAGCAGTGTTCTTTGTGTGTATTAGTCCCTCATTTCTTCTGTTGGATAACAGGGTTTTATTAATCCAAGTAGGCACAAAATTTGCCACAAAATTAAAATAACCACTTGCAGAAAACAAGGGATAAGGCACTCCAAACATGTCTCTGCAAAGCGATAAACAGGAGGCTGCATGTTTTTCTGTATCAGCATGTTCTGATAAATTTCTACCACTGAAAAACTGGGACTGGTTATTTAAATAAGGTTTGGATTTGGGCTAAATCTGTATTTGTGTAAACTACTTTCAGCCTATAAGACATTCCAATGTGAACTGAGGGCTCCAGTTCCACAGAAAAGGCAATCAATCAAGAAAAAGTATGCAAAAAAAAAAAAAAAAAGCATTTCTGGAGGGAGGGGATAATAACAGATAGATGTAAAATTAAGAACTTTCTGTTAAAGTCCTGTCATTTTGAGATCATGTTCAGTCAGGTACATGCATTTCCTGTGAAGCAGAGGGGAAAAAAAACCAAAGGCAACAGAAGCAATTAGAGATTCATATGCCTCTGGACATCTGTGTTGTGAAGTAACAATAGCCAAAGGATCCTTCAAACTTTCCATTATTCTTTAGTTTAGCCTGTCAAAACTGCTAGGGAAGGAGCAACCACCAAGTTCATTTTCCATTAGGCAAGTTGAGTTACACAGCTTAAGTGTGACTCACCAATGCAGCAAGAGAGCTACAGAAAGTAGGTATGAAAGGATCTTGAGACGTCATCAAGTCTACTCTCATGCCCCACAGCAGGGACAACTAAGTCTAAATCACTCCTACACACATTTGTCATAACCCTTCTTGTAAGTGACAGGCAGTCTATTTGAATGCTTAGATATCTTTATGTTCAAAGTCTTTCAGGTGTCTAACCAAGAGCCACATGGTATTCCTTACAGACATGAAATCCATAGCGTCCCCTTTGTGAGGGCTTTTTCTGCCTTCTGAAAGAGCCTACATGCATCTCTCAAACCTCTCTGCACCCCGTAAACGTAGGTGCTTCCATCTCTCATCACAACTTACCTCTCCCAAACCTTGCATCACTTTTGCTGCTGCCTCATCAGCTGGTGCATGCTTTTCTTGAAGTGATTTACCCCCAAACAGATACACTGTTGCAGCTTAAGTCTTACTCTCCTTCATAGCATAGCAAAGCCCTAGGAACTAGACTCCCATTCATGGAAGCAAGGGACTTGGCCTTTCCACTCACTCTCTTTTGGGTTTGAAGATGGATGAACACAGTATCGCGAACAATCAGTGGCAGATTGAGAAACTGAGTCTGTAAGTCCCAATTCATTTTAATATCCATGCCTAGATTTCCAGTTCTTCAACGTGCCCATCACAAGGCAAAAAACTAACAAGCCAACTTTATACTTCCAAGTAACATATAGTTTAAGTGACTGGGGAGCCTCTTCTGCACAGCCCCTACCCATCGTGAAGAGGCCTTCCCCTCTCACAGTTCCAGTCAATAATACTTGGAAAGAAAAGGCTCTGACAACCTCCCGCACCTCCTGCAAAGTTGCCACATTTTAGCAGTCCCATCTGCTGACAGGAAACAGGAAAAAAAGAAACAGATCATGGGTCCACATGATATTCAGATGCAATATGACCAGTAAGTGTTGCTAAATCACAGTTTGTACGTACTGCACTAAAATTTGCTGGAAAAGAACTCAGACCACCACGTAAGTAATGCAAACTTCAGAGCCAATGTTCCATAAGAGTTTTGCCTCCAGTCCTTCAGATGTTGAATTTAAGTCTCTCCCTTAATATTTTACCAGAAGCAGTGAATTTTTGTGCATGTAACTAGGATTCTCTGTATCGTCTAACAAACTTCCAAGAACTGAACTGTCTCCTCCATAGTTGCAACCCTGTCACAAGATACCCAGTCTGACTGGTTTTCTGAGCTACACATTTCCTCTCCAGGTTTCCTAAGGTTTAAAACAGAAATACAACTTCTCTAAGCCCAATGTCTCTCTCTCCCCCACAGAACCAGCTCCTGCCACAGCAGGTTAGTCTGTTCATCAGGTGGGGATCAATCCTTCAGGTTGAAGGCATGGCCCACTTGAGAGAAGAGAACAAAGCATTAAAGGATTACAGATAATCAAGCTCTAATATTAAAACAAAACATGCTCCTGATATTCTTGATGCCCCTGTCTGAATGGACTTCTCTCTGAACTCATTCATGCTGCCAGTTCACAAGCTTCTGTACTGTGTTCCCTTCCATTCAACAGCTTTTCATCATGCTCCTATGGTAACATGTAAAACAAATTTCTCCTCTAGCATTTGATCATGTAATACAGAAAACATCTTATTATCCTACAGTCTTCCAGTGTGGATTAGATTGAATAGTTTACACCCTCCCATTCTTATCATCTAGGAAACTCGGGCTGCAATAGCACCTTTGTACTGGACTTCTAAGAGCTGGCTACAAGGTCGAGGTTTGTTTAGGATCAGGAATAGTAACAGCAGTAATAAAGAAACTCAAGAGAGTAAAGTCAAGACTGAAAAGCAGCTCGACACAGAAAAAACTACATTCTGCAAAATATTTACCTGAAATAAATTTAAAAGCCATCCACTTCCACTCTTGCTTCTAGTACAGCTCTTGCACAAAAAGGTTTTCATAAATAGCCTCTACTTGGGAAACAGCTAGATTAAATATAATCAGTGATAAGTCTTCTGCTTCTCTAGGCTTTTGGCCCTTAGTCTTTAATTCATAATCACAATTATTCTCCCTGGACTACATCATGTCCTCTTAAGGGTAAATCATATGCTCTGAATTTTCAAGAGTTATAAACAGGAATTTGTTTATTCCACAGGAATAGCAGCAGCTTCTGTAATTTCGGCAATTTTTCACTGCAGTTTCTAGATTTTGCCTTCAATACGTTCTAGGAATGTCTTTGAAGAAAGTAGATGTTCCAAAGAAGTGACTCCCAATGACCTCCTCGGGATCCCAGAGAAGATGGCTGGATCCCATGTGAGGTTTAGCTGCTAGAAGCACCACTTACTATGGCAAAATCCATCTGAATTTGGTTTAAATGATGTACAAGCAGGATTTCCCCTGGTTCTTTCATAAGACCACACTTTCCTCAGAACAATTAGTGCACAAAATAAACAATGCATTCGGATTTTGTTTGTTTAGTTTCATGCCTGAAAATGTTTTCAACATTTAACTGCTTTGAGTGCACAGAAATTCATCCATTGAGTTGCTGCACGTTAATAAACTTAATTCAGCTGTCAGTTGATGTTTCAAGTGACAGAGCTGAACATTCACCCTTGTCCTCATTTAAAAGGTTGACTGAGCTCTCACATCAACTCAGTTTCCACATTAGCAGGGCTTCTAGTCCCAATACATTCACTGTCCTGACAGTTGTTTGGACAGGGAGATCAACAAGAAAATGGCTCTGAATAGATTTAATTTTTATAGCTTCTTTCCCCACATCTTCCTCTAGCTGGCATGAGAGAATAGCTCAACATCTTGAGAAGCGTCTTAAATTTCCACTCTCAGCCATGAACACAGTGTCATCCGACATACTCCAAACACCATCATGAAGCTAATGCAAGAATATGCAGCATTTACTGTGCAGACATGCAAAGGTACACACAATCCAGAAGGCATTATAGACAACAATACCAGCTAAGAATTACACCAAGCAATGGACGTTGCCTTTCACAGCAAGCGTGTGCAATATCTTCCCCCAAGAATTATCTTTTAACTAAATGAAACAAAAAGGAAAAGACAGACAAGGAGAAAAAATTACAACAGGAGGCACAGCCCACAGCATGCAAACATTCCCACAGTTAGTTTGTAGTAAGACACAGAATTGTTTCCCAGTGTGGTGTTTGCCAATTCATTGCATTAGAAGCAGAATGAATGTCTAATGACACATTAGTAGTCTTAGTCTAAAAGCAGGATGACCCAAGCAAGTTCTGTTTTTCTGCTAAACACAGGCTGACCACTGGAGCAGGACTTATTACAAAACCAACTGGAGTTGTTGCCTCCCAAAATAATGCATTCAGCTGAATCATTGGCCCAAGTCAGAGGAATGTCTGGTCAAACTGGCAGCCTGAGGATTTGCCAGTGGAAGTCAGGCACCATACTATAGCTAGAGCACCTTCCCTGCCTCACCCCACTCACTGGTCTCTTTCTGGATTCATCTCCCAGAGCACCACTACCTGAGGCCTGCATTAACAAGTCTTAAAGGATTTGCTGCTGCTGGTTTTGTGCCTTAAGTCATGCAAATACACACATTCCACTGACATCAGTGTGCCTAAGACTAAAACAATTCAAGCAAAGGATCCAGGCATCAAATCTAGGATCTTCAAAGAAGGTGCACAAGCCACAAATACTAGTTAAGAGCACAATATTGCATTGTTCTTCACTTACTTGGCCACGTTCGCTTTTCCAAGTTCCCAGTCCTAGGAGAGGCATCTTCTGCCCAGTGTGGAGTGCAACGAAGTCACATGCTGCAGACATTTTTGCCTGAAGAACAACAAGAACCAACCAATTCAGTAAACTGCAACAGTTTACCTTTTCTCTGTAGAAAGTAGAGGTCCTCACGATGCTAGAATAAAGATGAAGTAGGTTCTTTACAGTTCTTACCAGCATAAAGGAGAATAATAGTTACCCTGGAGAGACTAGAAAAGGAGCCCTTGAGCCTGGACTTCTCTCTTGTGCTTAGAGCTGTGATATCCAAGTGCCTTCCCTGTGAAATTCAACAGAACAGAAGTCTAGCAGGATATTCCACTCCCTGTTGCTGGCTTTATAGCTACCACAAACAGCAATCTGCTAAGAGCGGCAAAGCTTTTTATCAAAAAAGGAAGGTTTTACAGTGTGTCCCAACATGCCCACAATCTATGTTTCTGGTCAAACTGCTAAAATGAAGCTTCATTCAGGGCGAGCTCCAAAGCTGGCTAGCCAATTTCAGCAGAAGTTGAGGAACTTACTTCCCAAGTTCAGCTGTGTGCAAACTCATCATGTGATTTGTTTAAAAACAACAACAAAACCAAAGCAACCAAACAACCCAGGAGTGGAAGCATGCAATTTGGTTGAACAGCTGACTATGTAGGAGGAATGGTTATTTTCAAAGCAGAGCATTCAACCAGCATATCATCCCAAAATGGCTCTGCCTTCTCCGTGTTGTTAAAATCTTCATCAGCCAATGGATATGCTCATAAAGAAAGTTTGTATTTTCGATTTCTTGCTTAGTTTCTCAAGACATATTTTTGTAGATTTACAACAGACACCAAAGAGCATACTTGTTTTACAGAGAGACCTAATAAAGTAGTTGGAATGATCCTGACCTGAAGACCATCGTACACCAAGGAGCTGGTGAGCCAGGTAACAGTTAACCCTGCCTGGAAGCAGGTCCAGGCTTCCCTTGTGCTGTGCTTTATGTACAACCTGGCCTTCAAGGCTGCGCTCTGGGATAAGAGCAGCAGTTGCAGCAGAGGAGTCTGCAGGAGCTTGGTACCTATGATTACACCGTCTACACATCCTTGCCTTTATCTAAAAAGGCAGGAAGTTCTCATGCAAGCATCCGTTGTTTGACAGAAGAAATTATGAATAGAGTTGCTTTCCTGTAAGAGAATTCCTAATAGCTCAGGTGACCAAAACAGGGTAACACCACCGACAGACAGGGTCTGCAGATCACACTGTGCATGAATCAGGAGATCTGTTCAATGCTGCTCAACTCAGAGCTCCCAGCACCTGAAGGGGTGTAAGATTATCAACACTACCATCTTTCTTTACAGAGTTAGCTCTTACAAAGAGCATTTGATATGATACTTCAGACCCTGAGTGCCTTTCTTACCAGGACCGTAATGGACCAGTACCTCCTGGCATAAAACAGCAGTTAAACACAAAAATAACTGCTCTGGATTTGCACTGAGATGTATTAAGTCCAGATATGGGTGTTGAAGGTGAACCAAACTGTAGATGTACATCTATTTTCTGGGGTCTTCCGGGAGACAGTGAAGGTAAAATGACAATGCCAACAGCATTCTCTTTTAATCTGAGTTTCATAGCCATTTTGTAGCCAGCTGTAGGCAAGCAAGTGCTTTTTGCTTGAATTTAGTTGCCTAAATAAAGGTACATGCTTACATCATGCAATACAGCTGCAGACTCAAGACTTTTTGATTCACACTGGCCTATAACACAGATAAGACAGCAACCATATGCTTCACACAACTATGTTGCACAATCATCTTAAATGCAACAGTTTGCCCCAGAAGACAAGGTACACATGTTTAATCAATAACTATCAACAGCACATTTTCCAAGGCCCATCCTACTTCATTTAACACTGTTGTATATTAACACTGCAGAGAGAGCAGAACTACAGCCCCTGGAAGAATGGAAACATGCCAGAATTAGAGACAGTGGAAGACAATACACTAATTAATAGTTTCCACCCAGATTCTTCACCTAACAAGGAGACGCAAGAGAACCACAATATCTGCTAGCCATCATTATGTGGTTCATTAAAAAGCTGGAAGCCTCTTTGTAGAAGGGCAAAGGCAAAAGCAAGCACAGAACAAACTAATTCTGGACAAGTAAGATGTGGTTTTGGCTTTACAATACCCACCTATTGCCACATTCACACGAAAGAGTTAAAGCTCAGAATAATTCAAAGGCAGCATAAGCAGTCTGGCTAGGTGGATGCACTAGTAGCTAGAGAAGTGTAACGCACACCTTTGCATCAACCCATAGTTACAACTCGTTTTTAATCCATCTTAATCCTTTGAACTCAAGAAGGAGTCTTCCAACAGTTAAAAGCATATAAATATGTATTAAATTAACATGGACAAATACATGTAAATAGCTGTATTTTGGAAACACGGAACTCCTGCTACCGAATCGCTCTTCCCCCGCCCAGAGCTAACCCCGGAGGCGCCAAACGCTCCCCGCC